TGGGCTATGATAGGAACCTCGGAGGGGATTATCAAGTTCGGCGTCAACGATGCTGCAGTATGCCCTCCTGTTCAGATTCCCCTCCTCGCAAGTCTCTAGTACAAGTTGCACTTAGGGGTTCGCACTTCTCTTCTAAGGAACTGGACCCGAGTGCAGCCCCGGCCGCCTTGTCGCCGCCCGTCGCCGCCTTCCGTCGCCGCCCCAGTGTGGGTCACGATGTTGATTGTGCGAGGTCTGGAAGCGCCCAGCCACGCCCAGGCAAAGGGATGGGGGGGAGGAGGAGGAGGAGGAGGGAGGAGGAGTAGGAGGAGGAGGAGGAGGAGGAGGAGGGAGGAGGAGTAGGAGGAGGAGGAGGAGGATCAAGCAGATGAGAAGGGAGGAGGAGGCGGGAGGAGAGGAAGAGGCATGAGCAGCAGCAGTGGCGGGTGGGAAAAGGGGGTGGGCACACGCCGCTGGCAGAGGCAGGGCGACGACGACGGCGAGGGGGGTCCGTCCGCCGGGCCGCGGGCGCAGCCCCACGCCGCCCCACGACTACGTCCCCGAGATCCCCGCCGCCGCCCGGCATTCGTTCCTGCGCCCGGAGACGGCGGGGCCGCCCCCCCGCCGTTCGCGCGCCGGCCCGAGGAGGGGAGGCGCGAGGCTCCAGGGGTCAGGTCGGGCGTGCCCCTCTACAGGCAGGGTGTCCAGGAAGAGGCAAGAAGGAGTGTGGTGACGATGTTCCGTGCCCTCTTGACTATCTTGGATTCTGTTTTGACTACCCTTCATTTGTCCTCCAAAATCCGCCTGTAGGAGGACATACCCCACCTAATCTCAGGGGCGCAACACTAAGGGGGAGGGCAGGCTCAGGAGGGGGGGATTTCATCAACCCCACGTGTTCCGATTGGTCGCCGATTGGGGCATTGCTATGCCTTGCGAAACCATGCAAAGCAGCTGCTAGCCACTGCTACGCCCTGCCAAGCCCTGCTAAGCCACTGCTACGCCGTGCGAAGCCCAGCTAAGCCCTGCTAAGCCTTACTACGCCCTGCTAAGCCCTGCTAGGCCCTGATACGACCTGCGAAGCCCTGCTAAGCTTTGCTGAGCCCTGCCACGCCATGCTAAGCCCGCTACGCCCTGCTAGGCCTTCTTCAGCCCTGCTAAACCCTGTTACGCCCTGCTGAGCGCTGCTAGCCACTGCTGCGCCCTGCTAGGCCCTCCTAAGCCCTGCTATCGCTGTAAAGCCATGCTAGCCATCGGATACGCCCTGCTAAGCCCTGATAAGCATTGTGAAGCCCTGCTCTGCTATGCCCTGATAGGCTCTGATAAGAATTGCTACGCCCTGCTAAGCCTTGCTAAGCCAAGCTACTCCCTGCTAAGCCTTGGTCGGAACAGCTACGCCATGCTAAATGATTGTTAAGCGCTGCCGAACCCTGTCAAGCCCTGCAAAACCCTGCAACGCCCTGCTGAGCCATGCTAGGCCCTGCTAAGTCTTGCTAGGCATTGCGAAGCCTTGCAAAACCCTGCAAAGCCTTGCTGAGACCTGCTGAGTCCTGCTACGCACTGCTACCGCCCTGCTAAGCCCTGCCACGCCCTGCTAAGTGGTGTTAACCCCTGCTAAGCCTTGCCAAGCCCTGCTAAGCCCTGCCAAGCCCTGCTAGCCCTGCTAAGCCCTTCGAAGCCCTGCTACGTCCTGCTAAGCTATGCTAAGTCGTGCCAGCCCCTCCTAAGCTCTGCTAAGCCCTGCGGAACCCTGCTAAGCTGTGTTTGCTCCCGCCAAACCCTGCTACGCCCTGCTATAAGATGGACTTCGGGCTGTCATCAGGATCGCCCAAGGGCGAGGCCATTGGTGCAAAGACACTGCGGAAGCGATCGAACATGCATAAATCAACACTCGGCAGTGGGCAGCGGTTTGGGACGTCGACAATGGAAGGAACCCAAGCCACTGAGATGGCGGAGTCTGGACCGCGGGCAGAGTCTGAACCCGACGATATCCCCTAGGTATGTTCTAGATGCCAGATGCAAACGCTCTAGGTGTCACTTCGGGCGGTTTGGGTTTTGGTGTGGTCTGCCTTTCCCTTCTTTGGGTCCTGGTTGATCGGCGTGCTGGGTTGAAGGGCATTCACTTCTCGAACGGCTAGGCTGGGACATGGTGGTAGCGGCAGGTCGGGGAGGTCGGCGAGGATTTGTTCGGCGACGGCAGGGTCGGCTGCGGGTGGGCCTAGGGGCTTGTCCTGGCCTGGGTCGCCCTCGCTAGGTCTAGATTGGTGGCTCCTGCCTGCGAGGGCGTCGGGCTGGACTGGGTCCGGCATCCGCAGCCTGGCTGCACGCGCGCGCACATGCACGTGCACGTGCGCGTGCACGCGCGCACACACACACACACCCACACGTACGCGAACGCACACGCGCACGCGCACGCGCACGCGCACGCGTACACGCTCACGCAGACACACACACACACACACACACACACCCACACACCCACACACACACACCCACACCCCCACACCCCCACACCCCCACACCC